TTTGTAATTTGCCAATACAGTTTTTAGTTTTACACAGGTTTTTGACAGATCACTCGAATAGTTTTATTTTCTTGTTTTTATGACAGTTAGTCGAATAAATTGGTTAGGCACTGTACATGAATGCAAACTTAAGAATAATTTAAATGATATAACCCAAGATATTCAAAAGATATAACGTTCCTATTTGGAACACGTAAGTATACAACCCCTTTAGTTACAGACTGTTTCCAGAATTTCTTGAGTTTGAAACAGGACTATAATATTTCAGTGGTTTTTAAATATACATTTTGACTCAGTCATTTAACAATCCAAACATTTTTTCTTTTTGAGCCATTCTTCTTTGCATTTTTCTGCATGTGATTGTATTTCTATTGAAAGTCCAGTTTCTGTAAATGACTTACAAATGACTGCAAAAAGCTGTTTTTACGTGGCATCTGCTCACATTTATACCAATTAATTATTAGTAAAAGGGAATCAAATGTGTGCTCTTGTTACCTTGCCTAGTTTAAAAAAAAAAGTCAACTATTTCCATTATTGTTTCCACATAAACTCTTTCCTATGGTATTTGAATGCATCAGTGTTATGCAATGCTTGCATGTGTACCGGTACATGAATTATACTAAGAAAAACTTACTTTCCAAGAGCAAAGCATTCTAATGTAATATTAGAGGCCAGCATGGCAGTCGTATCTGGGAACTTCACCCTGATGTCTGCTGGGTATTTTCTCTCCTCACCTGAGAGAAAAGGCTTCATTATATATACAATAATAAAGCATGCAAAAATCATTTTCCGGTATCGTTGCAGCACGGTGACTAACCATCGTCAGGGGGTAAGGGGATGAGAGGGATGAATTTGGAGAAAACACTCTTTCCTAAGACGGGACTAGAAACAAAGCAAGAGTAGTTTCCCGCATCCTGAGCTTCCACCTTGGCAATGTAGAGGTTCCCAGTCTTCTGGGAGACAAACCTACGACGGTCTGTGTTCAGGAACACTGGGAACTCATTGTAGATCCAGCGGTAGGTAACCTCCTCTGAAAGGGAACAGAAAGAGGGAGAGATGCATGGGCCACGTTTTCTTGTTTGCACCTCTGAAATCTACACACTGTTTGAATGATGAATTTTAGGTGTAATTCTTGAAGACATGTACATACGTGGCCAGGCTTTTGGAGGTACACACAACAGAACTGCTCCCTGTCCTTCTTTGACATAAACTGGCTCTCTCTCTTCATCAGGAAACTCACCCAGAACTACACAGAAAGTACACGGGGGTCAAAGTTCAGCCACTGCAAAACTGTTCAAAGGTGTGAATAAGCTTTAGTCATTAAGGAGCTCAATGAGTCAACACAGTGTTTGATAAGTATTATGATTCAAAGAGCATGTTGTCTTCTCTTCTGTAAATGGTACTTACATAGTGCCTTTCTATGTAGTTAAACATTCAATTTGCTTTTCCTACAAGTCTCTATCACCAAATCACACACACATTTGTACCACTCTTGTACTGGTAGATTTACTGGTAGCTTTTATTTGTTCGTTCTACCACCTGAGCCTCAGCCTTAGTGATTTGGAACTGCCATACCTGGCTTAGGTTTTTTCCATTTGATCTCCACTTAGTCTTTATCTGTATGCCAGTCTGAGGACATACAGTTGAAATTAATACATAAATATCAACACTAAAATAATCTGGACCAGTCAAGGAACTCAATCGTCACAACCTTAATGAGTTGGAGATAATGTGAGCAGACACGCTGTCGAACCTTCAGCTCAAGATGTCAACACTGAACTTAAGCAGGAATGCCGTGCTTGGTGGTATTCACTTTCAAATACATTTTTAATTTTATTTCTTTGACTTTTTGCTTTTAATTTAGTTCAGTTTCAGTTTAGTTTAAAAAGCAGCTTTGGTCTTTGTTAGTTTTTATTGTATGGAAGGCATACGTCAGAGGCAAGACTTAGGAAAGTCAATACAGTTAATAGAATAAAAACACACAACTTGACTCACATTCTTGTAGGCATCCAAAATGTCAATAAATATGACCATCAAAGCCTTAAAAGACAAGTTTTAATAACAACTCTTTACTAAATTAACAAACACAAAAACTAAGAATCTTTCCTGTATATTTTTTGAGTTAGTTTTATTTCGCTTTTTCAAATGTCTAGTTGTTTTGGTTTTTTTTACATATAGTTTTAGTTTTTAGTTCAGGTTTAACTATATTAACATTATACTCACATCCAAACTTGACTCTGGCCTCTTTGCTGATAACGGTGCCGTAAATATTCCTGGCCACACAGACGTACGTCCCAGCATGTTTCTTCTGGATTGGATTGGTGATTACCAAATTCCCCCCCACCAGGCTGTAGTGTTCATCCGGCTGCTCCTTGAGCTTGATTTCCCAGTTATCCCGACGCCACCTAGCAGCAATTCAAATGTGACATCCTGTAATGTAATTTAATGTATTTCTTATTTAGGAAAACTATCATGCACCGGCTTGTAACCTGTATGTAGCTGGGGGGTTAGCACGTGCTCTGCAGTTCATGGAGATTCTCCCATCAGGTGAGTCTTCGATGTAAACCACATCCACAGGCTCCTCTTCAAATATGGGGCCGTAACCAGTAGCATCCTCTGATACAGAACAAATTAGTTAGTTCATACATATTAGATCAAAAATAATCCTGAATTAGCTCTTTTAGAGTCCTTTTATTATGACAAAACCAACTCACCACCGTATATTCTGGGCTCACCAAACAAAACTGCCACTAGAAGAGTAGAAACATTAAACATTAAAGGCTGCAGAGTAATATCTTTTTTTCCCCTCAACATCATTTTGAGAGAGCATGTGTTATTTTTAGGCATCATTAGTTTTCTTACCTGTGAGGGAGGGGAAGGAGGAGAGAGCCAGCAGCAATAAAGCAGTGGAAGCCATGGCAGTCAGCAGACTGACTCAGATGGATGGAGGTGGATGGAGAGAAAAGTCGATTGACAGGACATGAACCGGGGAGGGCTGAAAGAGACAGAGAGGAAGGAGAGCTTTTCCTTCAGGATCTACGTCATCATTTGTTTCATTATTCAGTGCAATTTATTTTATTTCTTCAAAACACTTATGTCACTCAAAACAGGCTAATGACACTACATGCTATTTACTGGACTTTGCAGACCAGAAGCAGTCAGTGCAGAGCAAGCTGGAATCCTCCCTGTGAATATAAATGATTCAGGATGTCAGTGACTCAGCAGTACAATGCAGTGTGAGCTGGGTGGGTGCACAACCACAAGAAAGTGCACCTGCACAAACACACATACCTGCACTGTCTGAGTGCATGCTCAAACACTGAAACCCCACAACTGCCTGCATATGAACAAAACACATTGTAGCTCAGCATTACTTAAGGGCTCCCGCAGTGCCATGAAACATGCTTACACATCACTCCTACAGGATGAAATGACAGTACTGCTGCTGTGTGTTGGTGTGTGTGTGTTTGCAACAGCAGAAACTATGTCAAACATGACAGTGTGAAAAACAGAAGGAATGACTCACAGAGGCATGGATATGTAAAGTATGATCTTGGATTGGTTAACAGGATGGGTTAAGCTGGAAATTGGATATCTCTGTGTAAAGTTTTAAAATCTCTTGTGGACAACACATTTTATATCATTATCTCATAAAGAAATTGAGGAATCCCTGTATGATTGTCTGTTTTTCCCCTGTCTTGGCAGTGTTTGCTACTTTGCAGCTGTGCTGGGGACCAAGTGGCAACCAGTAAATGCAGTTCCAGGACTGGCCACTTGAGGCTGACTCCAAGAGCCAATTAGTTACCATAACCAGGGGTGCACATAAGTGGTCCGCAGGTGCACATTCGCACCAGATAAGAAGTTGCAACGCACGTTTGCGTACATATAAAAGGCACTGTTTTTGTCCGCTAAAGTGGGATTTTCACGGCATATTCTGCACCACATCTCTGTGCGTTCATCATTTGTTTGAAGCCAGCTCACCTCCTGCAACCACTTTTCCGAGAATACGCGCTTCTTTTGCGGTTTGGACTCCTTCGGACATTTCTTTGGAAGTGGAGGAACACCAGAGTAATTGCTTAAAGGAGCTTCTTCAACATCTTTAAGAGTTCTAAACAAATGTCTGTCCTCTTCCAGAAAATCTTATGTACGCAAATGTGCGTTGCAGCTTCTTATCTGGTGCGCGTCTTTTATTTTGACAGCGAATGTGCACCTGCGGACCACTCATGTGCACTCCTGACCATAACTCCCATTTTAAAATACTGTTATTTACAACAGAAATACACAGCTTTACAGCCCTGTGCAGATAGGTTCTTTTTTAGTATTAATGGGTAATTTATCTCTTCATAACAACTGTAGGGGTAGAGATTAATGTAACCCATTTAAGGTTTACAGCTTTGCACATGCTAGCTATCGATTTGATCTCACCATCGCTAATTAGGGTCACTGAATTTCTATCAGTTATCTAAAAGATAATATATTCTGTTTTGTTCTTCCAATAAGTCTATTTTTTGTCATCAACTTTACCATTTTATTTGTGTGTTATTTAGCATTATTGTAGCACCCATTCAGTCTATGGATGCTCCTAGCTAAATAAGCTTACTAGCCCTCAATTCTTACCTTTAACTACGATCAATTCATGCTCCAAAAAAGCAAGATGGCAACAACAGTAAGTTAAAGTTAAGGTTTTAAATCAGCAAAGCCACATCTACAACCTAGTATATAGATAGAATTTGGTTTTAATAAGCAAACAAGCCATCTCAGAGGTCATTTTAGTTATACTGTTTTATGGAAGGCTGCTTTAGTTAGCACCCTTTGTGTAAGCCCACTGATAGCTAACTAAATGCTTCTTCCCCTTTGTGATTTCAGTTTACTGTAAATATAGATGGAAATATGGAAAAATTTTGCATAAGAATGACAACTAAAATCTTTAGTTGTATTTTAAGCAACTCTGTTATAAACTGTAAGCTGACCTTGTTGTTGCTTATATGACATTTACATTTCAGGTTTCAATATTTAACCTCCTAGGACCTTTCGTCCACATATGTGGACATCACATTTTGGGTTATTTAGACCAAAATACTCAATTTTGCTCTACAAGGGCCTGATATCCACTTACAAGGACATTATACTGCTACTGTTCTATCAAAATTTTAAATGAATATACTCATATGTGGCTCTCATTTTTCTTAAAAACCAAAATGAGATTAAGAAAAAATCTGCTAATTGGTAAATGGCCTGTATTTATATAGCGCTTTTACTAGTCCCTAAGGACCCCAAAGCGCTTTACATATCCAGTCATCCACCCATTCACACACTGGTGATGGCAAGCTACATTGTAGCCACAGCCACCCTGGGGCGCACTGACAGAGGCGAGGCTGCCGGACACTGGCGCCACCGGGCCCTCTGACCACCACCAGTAGGTGAAGTGTCTTGCCCAAGGACACAACGACCGAGACTGTCCAAGCCGGGGCTCGAACCGGCAACCTTCCGATTACAAGGCGAACGCCCAACTCTTGAGCCACGATCGCCCCCCCGATCTTTGTTTTTACATTCATCAGGTCCCAATATGCCCAAATATGAAAGAGAAATTGAAAATGCATGCTGTGGAAGAGTTTGGGTCTCAGGAGGTTAAAAAAGGAATGAAGGAAAAGCCTGACTCTGTAATTGTGACGAATCTTGTGGGATTAGTGGGTGTAAATGCTACATTTTGGCAGCTTCTCATTTTTGTATTAGTGTTGCAAAGTGCACTGGTTCGGCACAGAATAGACAACTACTACAGCTATGTATGCAAGTTACTTCACTTTACATAGCCAAATACTATTTATAAATTTCCTTGACGTCTCTGCTGACTTGTTGAGGATACAAGAGCTGCAGATTTCTCTTTTGTGTCTGCCGCTGGTTCAAAATGCATCGGAAATCTTTCAATTTGCTCTAAACCATCATCAACTCAGGCTTACAATGGATAATCTTCATACACTGTCACATGGAATGAGGCCGTATTAAACTGAACATATTAAACATTACATTTATATAGTTAAAGGCATATACTGTATGCATGAAAACTAAAATTACAATCCGCACTTCACTTTAGTAATGCAAACTTTAAAAGGCAAATTGAAGCTGAACGGTAGAAAAAATGTGGCAAAAAATAGACCTAGAAAGGGCCAAACAGCCATCTTTCTCAGTTAGCAGCATCTGTCTCAAACAAGCAGAAAGAGGGAGTGAGAGAGCAGAGGCATACACCCAATAGCTTATCCACATGCAGAGACTGCAGCAGTGACTTCTCAAAGGCCCTCATGATGACTCAGCACTAATGTCACCATAGCTGCACAGCTATGTGTCTGTGCATCTTGTCCTAAGATGAAAGTATACCTCTTGCATCTAGATATGGGTACACAGATCTGTACACAGGCTACATTGAAAGTGTGCAAACACATTCAGAAATCACTTTTATATATAGTACTTTCATACAGCTTTGCAGATTAAAGTTGCAATCTGTCATAATGGAAATTCTGATCAATTCATCTGAGTTTGTTTTCCTGCAATTCCCAGCTGGCAATAATCCCACCACCATCCTCTTTGGACAGACCAGAAAAAAATTTAGGTCAGCACACGTATTAAGCCTCAAGTCTCTCTCGGGGGCTGACTGGATAACCATGTTTGCATGCGGCTTTTGTGGCTGCCAGAAATCACATTCATAGTAATGTTAGAATTCAGCAACAGGGCACTCGAGTAATGCTGCTTTAATCTTGAGTTTGCTGGGTTACTTATGCACGGGCATTTGGATCACAAGTGATGTAAATGACAGAATAAAGACACACGAGGCTGAATAAGGAATAATCTGAATCTTGCAGCCAAATCCATTTAGTGAAGGACTTTTCAGCATCTGAAAGGAGGCGTTACACTCGTCACATCTTTTACAATCTGTTAAATCCCAGCAGACAAGGGGAAAAGAGAGAAAGTGTAGGGGAGGGACACAATCCTGCGATGTGAGCAAACACATTTGAAGTTACCTTGGTTATACTGACTCTTACAGCTACTTCCATTTCTTTCACACTATGCAACAAATACACTGAACACTACAGTGCAGGCCGTTTGCAGCACTAATCTGGCTGACTGTTAAGTTCATATTCAAAGGGTATGCAGGATGTGGCTCTATAGCAATACACATTTAATTTAACAATAATTCAGAATTAATGTTTTAAGAGGATAGATGTTCCAGCGCATATATACAGCAGTTTGGGCCAATAAGGGAGTAGCCCTGTCTAATACTTTCCCAAGCAGATGCCATAATGGATCCACTGCACTCTGCGCCCTTGACGCATCCAGTATGAGACACTTTCACCTTGAGTCTCCTCCCTGCATCCACTGATGCACTTTTTTAAAAAGCATGTGCTGCAGTCGATTCACTCTGAACTAAACCTGCAGAGTGAAATGCAAAGCCAGACAGCGCTGACTTTGTCGCAGTCTTCAGTCTTTTAAAGTAACTGCGCAGTTCCTTACATCACTTCACCCCTATGACGATTGAGCGGCACCGGTAATTCACTGCTCTGCATTGCGGTACTCCAGAGCCGGTCCATTTCCACACTCCAGCTCTCAAAGCACCCCCGGTTTATTCTCACATCTCCGGACACAAAGACACAATTGTGTCATGCACGCGCTCGTCTGCGGTGTCGTTCTTACCTTTTGAGGCGGAATGAGAAATTTCAGCGCACTGTCTTCATGGCACACCTGGACCCGAACCGCAACGTGCCACAGAGCCCACCCCGCCGGAGCGTCCCGTTCAGATGAACTTTTCTATTGGATGAGAGAGGCTGAGTGGCAGGTCATGGTTAGCGGGGAGGAGGCGGCTGCGATTGGCTTTCGAGAGAGGGAGGGTGAGGATGGGAGGGATGCGAGCATCATGCTTGTGCGCATCCCAGACGAGGGAAATAAAGTCACAGTGGGGAAAAAAGATAATTGGTTAAGTCATAATAAGTATTAAAAATAAATCAATAAAATTAAGGCGAGTTATTGAATTGCTGTCATCTGATTGAAAATAAAGTACAAATACAAGGGCAGGCTATAACTTAGCACTCCAACGCACTAAAGATTTCGCAGGAATTTGGAAATTTATTATAATGCAAAGGGATTTGGGAAATTTGAAAAAAGACATAAAGGAAAGCTTCCTATAGCTGATGCGGCCATGTGCTGTGCATCTTAAATGACCTGCAGATTAATTATTAATGGTGGATTGCAGACCAGGCGAGGTACAAGGATTCCTTACAATACAATAAAATAAGTTGTGGTTCCAGGGTGGGGGCAAGATTTTATTTTATTTTATTTTTTTGCGGGGGGTCATCCTAAACTTAGTAAACATAATTAATCCTGCAGTTTTAGGTTTGTTTGTTTTTTACCTATCCTACAAGTTTTGTACTTTTTTTAAGTAAAAGTACAAAACTATTAAAGTAAACTACTTAAAGTATCTCAAGTAAGTTCTTACTCTATGACTAGCTAATTTTACAATGAAAAGAAGTGATTTAGTTACACATTTTTGTTGATAATCTGTCTTTAATACAAATGTAGAAGTAGAAAGGAGCACAACAGAAAAACTGAAGTATATCAGATGTTTGTATCAGTACTGCAGTTACTGCACTTTTACACACTGAGGGTCCTTCAGACAGTCCTCTTCACAGGATTTACAGGATGAGACTTATGGGAGAAAATGATTTGATCCACAGTGTGATTAAAGAATAGCTAACACATTAGCCTAAAAATAAATATGTTGTCTAGTCCACTGCATGCACTTACAGTGTTTAACAAATTTATCAGACCACCTGTCTTAAAAGCAAGAATACACAAAGATTTTTGATTACAAGTATACAAGTGAATAACTGTAGTTTGGCGTCATAATCAAACAATAATATAGTGTTTTACATTTTTTTAATTTTTTTGCTTTTTTTAAAAAAAAATATAAAAGAGCACATTTGAAAAGCCATGGGTGATGACAATAATTATATTTTAGCATTACAAATATAATTCAGATTAAAGCGCTTGCACATACTGGTGAATCAAAAATTATTCTGCTGATTAATAATACTGTCAATTTAGGCTGTGGGATAAGCCTTACACTGGATGAAGGTCTAATAAAATTGTTAATGTGTGTTGTCATCATTTTATACATTTTTTCAAATTTGGATTTCCAGTCTTTTTGCCTTAATACTGTGTATGCCTATATGCTGGTTTTTGAATTTTGTAGTCATCTTCTCTGATAGCTGTCATATTTACACAGATTTCCTTTTCAATGCAAACCAGTGTTACAGTGGAATTTGAATAAAGCACACACACCACACATGCGGTGCCCCAGATGTATGTTAATCTTGTGAGGATTAACTTTCAGTTGTTAATCTCTGCTGGTCATTAGCTGGAGAAAAGACAAATCATGCACTAGGTGGCGCCACACACACGCACATACACACTTTATGTTTTACCCCTTGTACAAAGTCAAAGAAAAACATACCAGTTGTGGAATCCTGAAACCAACATTTATTTCATTTTTTTAAACTTCATTTAAAATACAAAATATTTTGCAATATTATATCGTAGAGTAAACCATTTTGACAGCCTTTCATGCTTCTCGTGTAGCGTTAACATTAACCAGAATGTCATATCATATACTGTGTATCCTACTGTATGTTAACCAGTAACTAGAACATCGTTTCTGGTGTATTCACACTCCAATTTGCCAGTTCGGTTATAAATCCATGCTGACCATATTTCCATATGCTCCCAATTAATATTAATTGTGGGGTTTTTTGTCTTCTTTTTGGATGCACACGCTTTAAAAGGATATCATTTTTAACTGATGTCTAGTTTAGGACAATAGTTCTTGTGCAAGCTACATCCACCCACACGGTGTTGTCCCAAAATAGATGCATGTGTTTATTTTAAATGATATAGCCTATTTAACTGTGTGCCTTTTTTTTTTAAATTTATTTGTAAAAAATACAGAAAATGTGCATGAACTGTCTAAAACAGAAACAATACAGGTGTCACAAGAGCTCAGTCACAAGTTAAATAATCTCCTTTGATACCTGATCGGCTAAACATTTGCAAAGTCACCTGACGGGTTAAAATATAAAATAACTTCACACCAAATGAAAAAGAATGATAACTGTAAATAGTCCCATCTCACACTGAACTGACTGAGGTCTAGCTCTCACCTTCGACCTCAACGTGCTCAATTCAAAGTATTATTTACAAAAATGCAACAGAAATATCTACACGTGGAAAGCTGACACGTTGCAACCTAAAAACTTGATGCAAGTTATGATAAACCCAACACATGGAAATGTTCTCTGAAAAAGAAAAGGAAAGGAAAGAAAGCTTTGCATGTCCTGTTGAGAGTGGGAGCAGACTGCTTGACACACATTGGAATTATAGACTGGTACCAATGGAAACAGAAAGCAACGGCATACATTGGGCACGCTGCAACGCGGTAGCATGCATGTGGTGCACACGCTCACTCTCGTGCACCCGGACATTCACACTTAAGCTTCATTCATTTTACAGTAATATAAAACTCACTGCGCTCAGACTGAGACGACATACAGCATAAGGGTTGAATGCATAAACCGAAGTCACCAGTGTGTTTTACCATTTGGAGTGAAACAAGCAATATTTTCACATGAACAGATACACCTGTTTTCACATTCAGTATCATTTTTATGACCGCATCGTTTCTAAGCGCTACCAGCAAATGTAAGTCTATTCCAGATGTTGAGTCTGGTTCCCACTGGCGGTTACCTGGTGAGAAGGTTGGCAGTTGTTTAGTGCTCCCAACAGGTTGGGAGAAGTTTGAAATGGACACATGACACATTTTTCCCATTTTATTATCGAGTGTTCATAGCTGGATGGTATGATTATATGATGCGTATACACTGTGAGCTGATGGTAGCTGGGTAATATGATTGTCAACAAGGGCATAGCAATCTATAGGTGGAAGCGATCCCTCACAACAAACGCCACTGTGTAACATCAAAATTGTTCAAATCAAGTCACGTTTATAGCACTGTGTAGGAACCCTGGACTCCAAAATGAAAGAGGCTATTTTTTTAAATACCTAGCCCACATACAATATTTAGTGGCATTACAGCTGATAAAATGGTCTTAGTTTTAATGTTCCCCTATGAACAACTTTATTATCAGCGAAATCCTGAAGCGCATTTTTTTGCGGTGTTGAACACTCGCGTAGCTTTTAAAGCTGTTATTAAGGTAAGGTCGGGTGGTATTCTGAATGCATCGCAGCTGTAGACTTCTTGAACTGCTCTGAGCTCTGGTCTGTCTCATGTATGAAGGAAGGATGTAACTATGAATCAGGTTGCCGTTCACTACAAAGGCACTAGAAACCGTGCTGAGAGCTTCTCAATCATTAACATCCAAACATCCAGACACCGCTGCACCATCTCTCTGTGAACCTTTCTCTAAATGCGACATATTTGCAGCACAGTACGCACACCACATATGCAAGAAGGAATGCTATTGGAAGCAGTGCTGGGGTAGCGGTTAGCTCTGTCCACGTAAAACAGAGGCCTGCGCAGGGGCCACAACTCGAGGTGGAAGCACCTGGCAATGACACTGGATCAATCACCACTTAAGAGATCAGTGAGAAGAAGCGCAGGCTTGGGAAAAACACAAAAGACTGCAAAAAAGAAAAGAATGGGAGGCCGACTGCAGTTAAGTGTGGGAGGTCTGGCTAGCTGGCTGGTGTGATAAGTGGCTGAAAGCTGAGCTTATCTAATGTCTAGCCAGGTTTTTAATGACCGCAAATAGACATACCTGTCCTTAAAATATAGCTTTCTTCTTCTTCTACCACATATGTACAAAAAAGGTCAAAAACCTATGCTAGCTTCTACTTGGAGTCACACATTTCACAGCAGTCTCTGCAAAGACACTGCTGTCTTTTTTTTCCTCTATATATCATACGTGATTTGACACTTTCTGACTGATAAAAAAAAAAGAAACAATAAAAGACATACCCAGCTGCTTGTAGGCGTGCATGGTATACAGTTTCAACACGCAGCTTACCTCTGCAACAACTGACACGAGTGTGGTAAAACGCTTATTAGGATCACAATTTACTCCATGCACATGTTTATGAATGGGATTGGATGCATTTTTTTTGCCTGCCTTCTGGTTATGTACTGTAGCTTGATAAAATATATCTTTTTTGATATTTCATATCTTGTATATTTTGCAAAGGATATCAAATGGCACTAACACACTTAAAAGATTCGTGCTCAGTCTGAGTGGTAAAAACCCCTTCAGGTACATTCCTTTTGCTTTTCTGTATTGTTTGCTCTCTCCTTCCCTCATTTCACACCTTCTTTCAATGGTTATGGGTGATGTGGAGCCGGTCTTTGCCATGTTGAGTGCGTCTTGATGAGTGGAGGTCACAGTGTGACCGGGGCTGGCAGGTGTGGGGATGAGGTTGTGTCAGCAGTCTTGGTGACAGTTAGCCATGGCCACCGGAGTGAGAACCACCAAGGGGTTAAGGTAGGTGTCCACAACAACTGTCACCTTAGCAGCTGTCACCACAGAGATGGTCACATTTGCCAGGGTGACAAGGGAGTGGCTGAAGCAAGCGTTGCAGCCAGGCCGTGGCCCTTTGTTAGACAAATGAATTCATGGCGTTGACAGGCGACGGGGCCTCCGAGCTCTCGTTGCCTTCATGCGTGTCTTTTTCTTTCTTGCCGCTGTACTGGCCGATGAAGGAGCCGTCCTCGTTGAACTGCCCGTCCCCACCTTCACCGTAATCCACCAGACTGT